TCTAGACCTCACTTGCCTATTTAGTTGGACCGAAAAGGCAGTCGCCAAGGGTCTGAAGCCCTTTTAGCCCTGGCCGTGATGCTCTGCCTTCATTCGGATGGGATGGCCTCGTCTGATCTGTGCGGCGGACTGGTGTGCTAAGAAGGAGGCGTTACCCCCATTTCAATGGCGTGTGGGGAACGGCGGCTCCGCGCCAAGGTCTGCCCACCAAAGACTGCAGCTGGCTGGCACGGCCACAGCAGGGCCATCCGGGGTCTCCCACCACCCCGTGGGTGAGCCCACGCCCAGCGGTGCGGAGCCTGCAAGGCAGGGGAACGTCACCAGGTCCCGCTCTGCCCCCTCGAGCAGACTTCTCGCCTTCAGAAACACCAAGTGGGGCCCTAGGCAGTTCTGGTCCCCGCGCCGCCATCCTGTCACATCCGAAGTCCAAGGAAACCCTGTTTTCTGACTGACTGCCAACTCGTTCTAAACAGCGACCTTCTTCTTCAGCCTCCTTCCCCCGCCACGAGGACTCAGCCTGGAGACGACTCCTCTCCCTCTGATTTCGGCAGACCATCTGCTCCTTCCCTCCCGCCCCATCTCTCCTCTTGCTCAGGAGGCAGTCCAGACTTACAGACAGCAGGAACTGGAACCCCAACTCTGTTGACTCAGCAACCATATTTCTCCCTAAGCTGATTAGCAGCGGAGTGGAAAGGAGGGGAATTTGCTAGTCACTGGGCTGGCACCTGTGCCAGGCTGGGGGTGGTGTAGCAGTGGCGGCCCCCCGGGCCTAGGGGACGTGGCTTCAGAGAGTCTGGGGGATCTCTGTGTCTCTGACGGGCACTGACTGCCTCGGACAGGCTGCACAGAGGGGACCACGGGGGCACCTGGGCCTGAGGGCAGTCCAGGGGCAGACCCGGCCCTGCCGCAGAGAGCCCCCAGTCTGAGACACTAGACACAGGCAGATCCTTCCTTCGGGTGGTTGAAGCCCCAGTGGAGGCTGCCACGAGGGGAGGGGTCCCGACGAGGCAAAGGCTTATGGGAAGGCGCAAGGTAGGGTCTTGGAGCCCCTGCCGGGCCGCCCCTGTCTATGGGCCCACACCAGGTAACAGGGCACTCCCCACTCCCCAGTCCTATGCTTGGCAGGGGCTTGGGGAAGGGGGTGCAGGGGCCGCTCCTCAACCACTCCCCTTCTTTGCTGGCACCCCAGGAGATGCAGCCCCCCCTGGGTCCCAGGCCACCTGCTCAGCCCAGCCCAGTGAGGCAAGGAACACTGCAGAGAGACGTCTGTGTTCCTTGTCTCGGTGTCTCTCAGCCCCCGGACCCCTCCCCGCCACGGCAGGGGTGGCTCGAGCACCTGCCTTCCACAATATAAGAGCAACTGAGACAGAGACAGAAGGAGCCTGGGTCCCTGTGGGGGGAGGTGGTTGGCGATGATTTATTAGCCAGACAAGAATCAACAAACAATTCTAACATCTGTTCTCGCCAAACCAACCCTCAGACAACAGCAGCATTGGACCAGGGCCCAGACCCAAAGCCTCAGAGGGCCGAGGAAATAAGACTCCTGGAGGGCTGGGGCGAGGCTGCACGGCCCTCCTAGCCCATCCTCAGAGGGGTGCCAGGCACTGAGGGCTCTGGGAGGGCACCAGGGGGTGTGTCCCTAATAGGGAGTGGACCCCACATTTGCTCCTCTGACCGCAAGGCTTCTTTATGGGGGTCCCAGACCTGTCAGGGGAACAGGGCTAAGCTGGGACCTGGAGGAAGGGAACCGGTACCCAGGCCCCCGTGCAGTGGAACTCTGGGAAGCAGCAGGGTTCCCGTCTGAGGAAATGTCTGACATTTCCCGTGGAGAAGACTTCGTGGATGTGGGGCTAGGAACAGCACTAAACCAGGGGTCAGGAGGCCCGGGCTCTCGTCCTCAACCTTGGCCAAGTCATCACTCCTCTCCGGCTTTGTATCCCCATCTGCACAGCAAGGGAGGGAGTTGGACGTGGTCAGGAAGGGTGAGAAGACATAGCTATTCTGCCTTCCCTCGCCCACAGCAGACATCACTAATCAATCACGGGCTCTTTTCTGCTGAGCTCAGGCGCAACCTTAGCATCCTTTCCATTGCAGTGCCCTGGGCAGCCACGACCAATGGATTGGAGCTGGCACACAAGGTGACACCTTTCTGCCATCTTTGCAATAGATGAGGCTGAGGTCCTTTCCAGCCTTAATCACCTACCGTTGGTTTCATCCACATTTTCCGAGAAGGGCACCTGGGAGTGTGTGTGTGTGTGTGTGTGTGTGTGTGTGTGTGTGTGTGTGTGTATGTGTGAAGGTCTCTGGTTCTCTTCCCCCAGCTCAGACTCACCGGCTACTGAGGGGGCCCCAGGGGGAGCCATTCCTGTCCTCTGTCCTGAAGCACCTGTCTAGAAAGGTGGGGAGGGAGGGTGTGCCCCCAGCGAGGCAGGGGCTGGTGAGGCACAGGAGGGCCTTGTCCAGACACAGAGTCCTCAGAATGCAGTCGCTGGCCACCTGGATTCTGCAGAGAGGAACAGTCTTAGGTCACACCCTCTACCCTCTGCCTCTCGGGCCAAGACATCTGGTCTTAACAGACGATGGCCTCCACAGAGCAGGGCCGCATCCCTCTCATCCATCCAACAAACGTTTCCTGAGCACCTGCCCTTGGGTGTGTTTGGAGAAACTGCATAGTTCTGGGAGGGTGGGTGGTAAGGCTGAGGAGGTGGCACCCCCCACGCCCGCGGAGGATGGAAGGCCTCGTGGGCCAGGCAGCTGTTTTAGAAACACCTCTGTGGCTTCCTGGGGCAGAATGCATCAGAAGAGTCAAGACTGGTCGCTAGAGACCAATTAAAAAGCTCCTGGAGGGGGCTGGCCGAGTGGCTCAGTTGGTTAAGAGCTCGCTCAAGAGTTTGAGCTCTGAGCAACAGCGGTTCGATGCCCGGCCCGAGCTGAGCGGCCGCTGAGCTGCCAATAGGTAGCAGGATGGCTCAGCTAAAAAAAAAAAAAAAAAATCTCTTGGAAAAGTGCTGATGAGAGATGAGGGGCCTGAATCTGGGGACAGGAAGAATATACTTGGGAAGAGACCCAGCAGAAACAGTGGCTTATAGGGGAGTGGGGGGTGGTGAAGAGCGGACATGTGGAGGGCCCCAGGATTCCGGCTCTGACATCAGGCGGCTGGAGGGTCATCAACCCAGATAGGGAACATCGGAGGAGCAATCGGGGGAGAAGGGTGAGGGCAGCGTTAGTTGTATGAAGTTCCAGAAGCCGTGGGACGCTGGGGAGCTACGCGGAAGCCTGGAGAGATGTTTGCATGAAGACATGGACTGGTGACATCAGCTCTAGGACAGCAGCAGGTGGCAGGGGTGTGGGTGAGTGGGGACAGACACAGGGCTGAGAGGGAGCGAGAAGGCAGGGTGGGGAAGGGCCCGAGGAGGGGCAGAGGCTGCCGGTGGGTCCAACACATCCCAGGAGATGCTGACTTGAACTGATCAGTGACGAAACAGGAGGTGGGGTTAGAAGAGGGAGAGGGGGCATGCGGGAAGGAGGGGGTCCAGGTGCCCCCCTCCCCCTTGAGCCTTTCTGAGATGACACAGGGACTCCAAGCCTCCTCTGCAGGATGGCAGGGCCACCAAGGCTGAGGAGAGGAAGTCAGAGCAGGNCTGGCAGACTCGAGTGACGCTCACGGGGGCTGAGTCCTTGGACAGGAGCTTCGCTCCCTGTTGGATGTGATAAAATGTTGAAGCCCTCCCTTCGCCTTTTTTTTTTTTTTTTTTTACCAGGGATGTCTTGAAATAAAACATTCAGTCTGACGGACGCCGCCTGCCCTGCCCTTTCCTACTTTTTCGCATGTTTCCTTTTCCGTTCTGGACCCATGTCATCGGTCACCCGTCCCGGGCCTGGGTGTTGACCTGATGAAACGCACCCTCCCACCCGTCGGAGCTGCCTGGGTGGTTGCTTTGCTTTTTCCTTTGTACCCACCACCTGCACCGCGTTCCTGCCCTCGAGGACCCCGGGACTTGCATGGACAATGTGAACGGGGCAGGGGGATCGTTGCCCATCTCTGGCGTAGACGGCGAGGAAGTCAGGAGGGTCCTGTGACAGGACAGGTTGTTAGAACGGTCCAGCAAGAGGTCAAGTGGCGAAATGGCCGTCCCTGGGCTGAGCCAGGTGTGCGCTCCTCATTGGCCTGGACTGGCGAGGAAGCTTCACGTAGCGCTTGGGGGCCAGACAGGCCTCCTGGGAGGCTCCTGGGCCCCTAGTCTTTTGCTAGTGAGGGAGGGGTGACTGGGGAAGGGCGGTGGCGGGATCTGTGGACCTGAGGGAGCTGTCAGGCCCTGTGATGCCCAGAAGCGACAGGATAGAGGGCAAGGTTCAGGTGGGCAGGGAATGCGCACTGGGCACAGAACTGGGAGCTCTCCCTGAAGCATGCTGCCGAGGGCGCCAGGCCCCAGGGGGGCTCCCACCGTGGCTTCTGCAGGACGGGACTGCTGAGGAGGCTCCTGTAAGAACGCTGGCCTTGGCCTAGGGTGCCCGGTGGAGGGGCGCTGACTGGACCGGATGGAAAATGCAGAGGAATTAGTGTGTGACAGCCCTGGCGACAGAGGAAGGGTAAGGCCAGAGGGGCAGTTGGAAGGGTGTGGTGGGGCCGTGGGCTGAGAAGGAAGAGGCCTCTCACCTGGCTCTGGGCCTGCGTGCCCAGCTAGTCCAGCCTGTTTGTCATTAAGTGCGGAGCATGGTTTCATCACTTACAGGAAAACCACCGCTTATCTGAAACCTGACCTACTTCGGGTTGGAGCCAGACAGGGCTCCTGTGTCCCTCGGGGACACTCGGCCTGCAGTTGTCCCAGTCGAGCATCCAGCTGGCCGTCAGCAAGGAGCGCCAGCCCGTCCCAGCCCGTCCTAGCAGTCCCACTGCCCACGGCCCCGGGCCGGAGGGGGCCACCGGGGCAGCTCAGCAGGGCCAAGCGGGCTGCAGCCCCGTGTCCACAGGCCACCGGACGGCCCTGCCCTCCTGGGGTTCAGAACTCCTCAGCTCTCTCCTCCTCAGGGCTGCATCGGGGTTTGGTGGGAAGGGCTCTGGGCTGGGGGGGCAGAACATGGTCCACAGGGAGAGTCCAATCTTCTGTATCTTCTGGGAGTGGACACTGATGCCAGAAGTCTCTTACCGTATTTGCCGGCGTATAAGATGATTTTTTGGCCCTGAAAAATATGCCTCCAAGTGGGGGGTCGTCTTATACGCCAGGTACACTTCAGAT